ACCAGTTACTAACAATATAAAACAATCTGTACAATCTATACAACAATTCTGTACACTCAAAGACGCTCCAGATTCAGACTACTTTATTTATCCCACCAGAGGCAATTCGTTTGAGCAGCTAATTGAAAAAAAAAAAAATAGAATTAATTAAAATGCAAATGGTACTATTCATTTACTCCAGCTGTCTTGGGACAGACTGACAAAAGCAAGGCAAACAGTGTTATCAGCACAAACTGGTTGTCTGATACACACACACATACACACACACATACCAAACTGTACCCATAAGTCTCCCATCACAGAACTAACCAGGCCCTCTCCTGCTTAGCCTCTGATCCGAGATCTGACAGGACCTGGCTTTCACATGCAGGTGGCGCCGCAATAATTATAGACTTAGCATATATCATTTTCATTTTGTATATATTTATATATATTGTATTGTAAGAGATGCTAATTGTGACCTTTAAGAAAACCACTGAAGGATTCTGGATAAAGCCACAGAGAGACCGGGCGAACCGCAGACAGGAAGAAGAGCCATTATTATGCCGTCGAGATTTAGTCTGCAAACTGAATGAATGAATATGATATTGAAACTAAAAATATCCTGGTATGTGTTACGCTTAAATGTTCTTATTGCATTGTTTTTGTTCATCATCTGTTTGTAAATCATAAAAACAACATACAACGCGTATGATGGACTCGCACTATTGTACTTGTGGAAGAGACCCACAAATAAAGCTGCAATTATGAGTCTGCCGCCACATTCACTGGAGATTTCACGTTCATAACTTCATTATAGTCCCCATAAGGACAGTAATGTCACGCCTGATCGTTCATAATGAAATGTCCCAAGAACAGAAGGGAATCCTCACAAGTATGTTTTATTCACACCATGTGGCCTCGGCCCACGGAGACTTTGTGTTTCATTCACACCATGTGGCCTCGGCCCACGGAGACTTTGTGTAATAGGGTAACGGACATTATTGGAAATATCTCATTACCATAAATACACGACAAATCCTCACCACTCAGTCCTTATAATACTATAGACTTGCTCCTGTTTCTGTTTTTTTTGTTCCCACTTGTCTGTCCAGGTTGCCATGGTACCAAAGTACATGGAAAGATCTCTTCAGATGTGAAGAGTGGCAAGAGCAGCAGTTTAGATATTTTCATCAAAGTAGAACATAAACTATTCTACTTTGAAACAATGAAACACTGCTTCATATTTTTTTGTACTGTCATTGGTTCTGGAGAAACCGAAGGAACGCCTGCTGTTTGCTGGGCATGCATTAACACAAGTGACGCTGCTAAATCTTTACTAATTAAAGCTTCCAAAGTGCCACAAACCTGTGTGGTCCTGTTTTACAGCCACAGAACATGGTTGCCGCCCAACAGACATGACAATCCTCAAAATCTCGAAAATAATGTCTGAGGTGAGATCCAGAGGAGGACTTCAGCATCCAAGTCCAAAAACCTTTATGGATTTCAGCTTTTTCCTTTGATCAACCATTACAGTCGAATGCAAAGCCATCTCCACGCCATAGAAGGACCATCAGCCAGCCTCTGCTTGCTCTCACCCATAACCAGTCCTTCTCAAATACAATGTTTAATCTTTTACATACTTTTAAGAAAGAGCCGACTATTGAGTCTGATCTGACTTCACGGGCTGAGAGCAGATTTTCTGAGCTGATCTAAAGAAGCATGAAATATATTCTTCTTCCTAAAAGCGGCTGAAAATAGAGAAGCACTTTTAATAAATGCATATATATTATGTATCAATTATTATTGTATTGTAAGAACAAGAACCTTTATTCGTCCCACAGTGGGGAAATTTCAAAGTTTAGTTCAGTGTATATTGATCAAATGTACTGTATTTTTATTATATACTCTTCTTTCTCTATAATATTTCTGTGATAAATTATTATAGTGTCAAATGCTGATCTTAGAGCTAGGACAACCAACAACCAAAGAGCTTGTGTGTTCCAATAATAACTTCACATTTCGGATGAACATTCACCAAAGTTAAGACGTCTGCTTTGCCATCCCTTTGTCAGTTTAACAGTCCCACGTCATAGTATTTATCCTGACCTTTGAGCCGACGATGAAGACTCAATCTGTGCATTGATTTATGAGTTTTACAAAGAGCCGCTGACAGGAACACTGCACAGAAGAGCGGCGCTGCAGCGTTCTGCTCACATATTAATGTCCTTAACGTGTCCAAGAGGATGCAGCGCTGATGGATGGCAGAGGGCTGAGAGAGAGCAGCATGATGGATAGATACAGGATAAAGAGTGAATGAGAGAGACTTCAGAATGCGAGAACCAACAACATCACCAAACACCAGGGACAGATCCACCCTTCGTAACCCGAACGTTTTAATCCCACCCACTGCAAAAAATGATAAATTATGAGGTAACATTTTCTTGCAACTACTTATTTTGTTCTTAATTAAAGTACATTCTAACTTAAACCAAGATTTGCCCATGTTTCAAGAAGGTCCTGGGTTCAATTCCATCTCCAGGCCTTTCTGTATGGTGTTTGCATGTTCTCTTTGTGTCTGCGTCCAGGTGCTCCGGTTTCCCCTACAAGTACAAACATGTCCAATAGGTCTGGCATGCGGCTCCTGTACTGGCGACCTCGCTCCAATCTCTGTGTGGAGTGAGAGGAAAAATGCGATTCTGGTCTGTGAAAAGCGCTATATAAATAAAGATTAGTTATGCACTTACTTACTTACTAGTCTTTTTTCAAGAACTGTTACTTTGTTTTCTCATTCCAAGGGAGACATTTCTTGTATCTTTTTTTAAACAAGCTAATTTTGCTCGTCTCACTGGAAAATCATGATTTAAAGCTGTCAAAATGTGCTCAAATTAAGAAACATTTTGCCAAATTTGAGAACTTTGTGCATTGTCCACTTTTTTGATATAGCACAATTTATAAAACAAATTTCCAAAGTGCTGCACAGACGTGTAAGTAGAGTCTATTTACTTTAGTTGTTAATCAACTCTCAATGTGAAACTAATAAATGACACATTACACAAACTGTCTTTGTTTGTCATATTGATAATTGGCTCACTGCCAGCAAAAAAAGAAAATTAGTATATTTTGAAAATGGATTGTAGGCCACAATCATAAATAATATAACATATAAAACGGGTTGGAATATGTCATGTCACCTGAATGTAATGATTTGATATTGTACATTAGTTTCACATTTTAACAATTTAAGTAGAATTACAGAAATAAATATTCTCCTGTTCAAGTGTGCGTATCACAGCGTTGGATCCGTCACAGCGAAGCCCTGCAACTTTGTCACCTTTGACATCATATATCATTCATTGCTTTAGTTTTAAACGGGTCTCCTCCCAGAATCCTCCGGGTCGGTTTTGTGACACAGGGCTGCGCTGCTGTCAACACACTGTATGTGTTGCATGTTGAGTGTGAGAGACCGCGCGAGCGCGACCCCAGAGAAGCCTGACGGAGACCATCACAGCAGCCCTGAGGAGGCTCAGTGATGACATGTGTGTCGCCATGGAGATCCATCAATATATTCAACAAAAAGAACCAATCCTTTTTACTTTCATTATAGAAACATCTAAATCTTGGATTTGTATTCAATTGTGTTCAAATCTGAATTATTTGCTCTTTTGTTTTCATATTTATATTGATTTTCATCTCTGGCACTTTTACAGTATTCAGGTGACGCAATCTCAAGCTTTTGGTGCAACTCTGGTATCTACGATTGATGAATGCTCCTGTGATGAAATCAGGGACACAGCTCAGAGCTGTTCAGGACTTATTATAAGGACACAATAAAGAGATAAGTATGGCATTACGGAGACTTGGAATATGGAAGTTTATGGACATTTATGAACATTGGTTATTCTGCTATATGAACCAAAGGCTCATATGGAAGTATTTTGTATTTATATAATAGTTTTCACAAACTTACAAAGCCTTTAATATTAGTTTTTGAGAAGTGAGAGGCATTTTATCCTCTCACTCCACAAACAGACAAAGCCAGACCTATTCTACATGTTGTAAGTGGTCTGGCCTCCGTCTGGAGGTGGGCTTTCTGCTGCCACATGTTTCATTATTGCATTTCCTGTGTTCAGATTAGTACAATTATTAGTGCCCTATAAAAATAATTAAATTGGAATCTTATGTTCAGGGTTAAATGCTCAGCTTTTAAAATGTTTACAATAATAATAGTTATTTTAGTTGGCTGAAACCTAGACATGTATGTCAATGTTGTAAAAATAACCTTGAACTCATCACATAATCAGCACAACTCATATTTAATTGTCTGAGAACGGACGATGAAGTGCAGGAGGGAATTATACAAGTTTGTTTTCAATCAATGCTCCGCAGATGCACCACCCTATCAATAAAGTGGACAGAGTGTGCTGAGAAATACTAAGAGGCTGCTTACATTCCTTTTGCAAACTTGCATTTAAGCTAAGATAATGCTTCCCCAAGAGAAGACCATGGCTTTGTATTTGGCCATGTATCACTATAAATAATAGCATACACATAAGAAAGTCCCCCGTGGATAAGATTAATTTATCTGAATTATATTGTGTGTGTTTTTTGTTTTTGTGTTTCATTAAAAGAAATGAGAAATTGAAAAATATTTTTGCATATACTTAAATACTTAAAGTGCCCTGTTATTCACTTTTTGATGTTTTCTGCTGAGAGCGGATAGGCTGAGTGAGGGTGGTCTCCTCCTTTTTCACTTTTCTGTCTGATAAAGCTGATCTAAAGATGTGAAAGAGACCAACCATATGTGCATTTGAAAACAAGTGATGGAACCAAACTTTTGTGGCTTGAAAGTTGTGCACCCCGGCTGTACATCCAGATCTCTATTAGTAAATATCTTGTCACATACAATTGATTGAATTATATTTTATAGAAGTACGCTGCAGGACACTCCAGGATATAACCAGCTACAGTCAGTGAATGCAAAACAACGGCGTAAGAGGTGTTGGCAGGTTTGCACTGACCGGCAGATGGAGTGGATTTCATGTGTGTCTTCGTCCTTGCGAGCGCTGTCCGTCAGACTGTCTCCCAGAGCCAAGAGACACTGAGCAAAGCCCTTGTAGATGGAGTGGCACCTGCGAGCCGAGGCCGTCGCCACAGGCCAAGGCTGCAGCACTGCAAAGCAACACACACACACACACACACGTCAGCCTACACATCTAAAAGACTGTGTAAATGTGCTTTTCTGGTATTATAGTGTTGGCTACTTGTTTGGAGAAGGTACTTCTGAATTTCGCCATAGAAACATTTGTCAGAAGAAAATTTGTATACAAAGCTCGGGACTTGATCAAGACAGATCATATATTAGGATTGTTTGCGGAATGCGAAAAAGAAGCCGATTTGAAACTAAGCTATCTGGAGCCAATTTCCTTATATGGGCATTTGTTTTGACAGGCAGGAGCAGATGTGTTTTGCGAACATGGCTGGAATTTCTTCCGCGAATGAAAGCATCTCATGGGTCAATTGTTATTGCTGGTAATCGGAATTTACAAAGACGATATCAATCTATACAAACCACAGTGAGTGCTAAGCTATGGATTTTTCAAAACAAAAACAAAAACAGTTACTGAGCTGGAGGAGTTTACTTTTCAAAGTAAGTCAATAAGAGCCAGAGGTTGAGCATTGTCCATCCATGTACATTCTATGGATCAATTTGGAGCATCAAGCAACTCTGCATGTGCTGGCTTGATGACAAAAACAAAAAGTTCATATGTGAACTCTGCACAGCACCCAAGCACCCGGCAAGATCTGCAACGTGAGGCCGGTGATGCCAGCGGCGTTTGTGAGATGAGGAAATCCAGGATTCCTTCCGTTCACAGACAGAAAGGCAGATGACGTTCTCACGATGCCACGTTCGGACCAATTTAGAGACAGATTCTTTAAGTTCTTTAAACCACATGAGCCCAACAATGACTGTATATAAATAAATGTGAGAATGCATTATCTGTCACAACTGCAAAAAATCGAACGCAAAAATCTAATAGACTAAAGTAAGGAACGGAGACTGGAACAAAGGGAAAAAATACAGAATGGACTGACAACAAGAAGAGCTCAGAGGAATAAACTGATTAAAAAATGCCCTACATATTTTTTTTCCAAGCTGAATTTTGATGATTTCTTTTAACTTGACCAGCCCTGGATCATTTAGACCCTAATATATGGTATATTTCTTCTACTTATCATTTGTGGCGGATACAGAACAAACCGAAAGGATAACAAATCCACACCATGACATTACCCGCCTTAATATTCCAAGTTCAACAATATGAGCGAGTAAAAAGGGTGAGCCGGGGGTGAGTGGCGAGGCTGGTTTAGATGACACCGGCGTCTTGGAGCCTATTTGTTCCATTGATGGACTGAGCGCGTCACCGCAATCCATCACATACAAACTGCTGTGGCTCCACTTTCTGCCTCATTCAGTGTTTAAAGTCCAGAGCTGATGGATGGGCCACACCACCGTTGAGACATGCCAACGCGTGTCCACCACCGGTCAACGAAATACTCCCCAAAAAAATACACCCTGCAATGAGAGAGGGCCGTGTTACTTTAGGAGATTTCAACATGATCTGATGTTGTAGCATCGATGTCTCTTTGTGTGCAATAACACGCATGGACCATCAATTATTTCGCACTTAGTTAGCTATGGGTTGTTAAATAAATCATCGACGTTCACTGATATGCAAGAGGGGAAGGAGAGGTGAGACGCCTCCTCCAAGATTTGCATCAAATCATGAGCCCTCGTGAGTTATCAAAGGTTACTCATCCACCCTCAATGTTCCTGCTTCTGTCAGACTGTACAATGAGATCTGCTGAGCCTTGACATGGGTCAGTCACCTGTTCTGATATAGTCTCTTAACCTGCTATTATTAGTACTACATTATTACATTTGTATCCATTCATCTGATAACTCACTAGTAACTTTACCTGCTGCTATATTATTGCTATTGTTTATTATGGTCCTATTCTCTGCTGCTTAAGTACAAAACCAGTTGTGTGATCATTGATGAGTTGGGGAACACCTGCCTTTGTATGATGTGAACGCAACAATGTATAATGTGTTTTTAATTGTGTTAAAAGCACTTCTAGGGACAGACCTCGCAAATCAGCCTTGGCAAAAAATGTTGCAGTGATTCACAGTCCACTTGTCACTATCAAATAAATAAATAAACAAATAAATGAATAAATAAATACCACTTTATGTAAATACCTCATGACTGTTTTTAACTAGTGTACTAAGCCTTGAGCCTTGAAGTCCAATTACTGTATAGCTCCATGCAGAGTTTATATTATAATTTTATCATTTCATTATTTTATTTTGCATAACCTGAGTGCTCTTATTTTCTCCTTTTATTCTGCTGTAATAATGACATTGAAATTTCCTCACTGATCTTTACAAAGACAGTCAGTGGTGGACTTTCACTTCTTCCTGCTACATCCTGTTATTTACTTTTTGTCACTTGACCGACCAAGGTAATACAAAATAAACACACGCAAAGCAAAAAATGTGAATTGTTTAAAATCTCTGCACACTCATGTTTGCATAATATCACAGAGACACATTAAAAACCTTTCTTTTACCGACATAAAAAGTGAGGTGAGTCTCAGCAATCATTTGGACGGATCTAAAGAATGGTGCTGTTATTGACAAAATTGCATCCTCAAGCAGGGAACTTGCATAATAAGGCAGTACAAATGGTAGACTAGTTATTTACGCAAGAAATGTATAAAAAAAAACAGTTCTGAGACATCTTCCCTCTTCTTGACAGACCTCCATCTCTTCTCATTGTGTCCTGTCCCTGGGTAACACATATTAAAGTAGATAAATGACATTATTATTCTTCATTAAAGATATAACGGAGAATATAAAGTGTGTTTGTCTGAAAACACGGCTTATGAAGTTAACAGCCGGCAGTTGTTTATTCTCACTTTCTTAAGGGAAACTCTTCCAATGCTCTAAGTAACTCTGAGCAGCTCCAGTGTCGTTCCATAATTAACACGAGCTGGAGGTGACTGAAGTGGAATCAGCTTTCATGTTTTCACTCTCTGTACATGTGTTGGTGGCTTGCATAGATTATTTCACTTGAATGTTTTGAAGTCAAGCAAGAATGGCCGACATTTTTTCGGATTGGATAGAAAGCGTGGGGACCAGGCATAGAAAGAAAACAATAAACTGTAGCCTCCAAAATTACCAATACAACTTGAAAATGTTGGTATGTTTTTGACCACAAAGGATTTAATGAAGACGATGGCCATGAAAGAAAGACCATGGAAAAACGAATGAAAAAAAAAATGAAACACTAGAACTAGAAAAACAGGCAAACAAAGACAATGGACCAGCAAAAGCACAGGGTAAATGTAGACAGAGACAAAGGTGAAAAACATTAGGTGAAAAACCACAGAACTAATGTCAAAATACAACACAACACAAAATCTACAGCATGACATATTCCTAGCCTTTGAAAAATATCCGAATCAATGAATCTTTATAAATACAATGTTATGCATAAAACATGATTGCAAAAAAAGAATGCAAATTCCACAAAGTATTCAATTCAATTCAATTCAATTATTCTTGTAAAGCCCTAAATCACTCACAACAGTATGGTAGTTATCTTAGAGGACTTAACAAAACCGTTGAAATCGCCAACACAGATCCGAAAATCAAACTCTTCAAACACAAAAAATATAGTACACATAGGTATCGGTCCATAGCGGGCAGATGAATGTTGTAGAACGTCAGAGTGTCCTGGGTCATCACCACAGTCCTTCTTGTTAGACAGACCCTCCTGCTTCCGCAAGGAAAACACAGAAGGGTCTTTTCTTTTCTTCTTCCAATTCAAAAAAAAAAATAAGCAAAAAATATAATTGTGTTTTCACTTCCTCACTGCGGCCAATCGACTCCTGACCGAGTTCAAATGCCCACATCCATCACCGCATTAATAGAGTAGTTATAGACACGAAGGGACACTTTTTAAAGCGTTTCTTTCATGAAACACGTCAGTGCTATGTAAGACGTGTTTGAATGTGGCTTCGACTCTTCATTCAAGGAAACTGCTGCAGTTGTACTTTACAAGGACACGATTGAAAGAGTTCTTTACAGAAAAGCACTTGCAAAGCTGCTGTTGTTATAATTCCTTACACAAATAAAAGCACTGATTTAACACAATTATATCCTTTTTCGATAAACTGCAAATAATTAAAAACATTTTGAAAGTTGGAGTATTTATATAGAAGTAATTATCTATACACACGACAAATAAGAGTAATTGTAACTGGACTGCTTGGCTTGTCTTGTTCTTTTATTACATTTATAAACCATTGCACATAACTCACATTTCCCTGATCCCTGCGGAGCCTTTGCTGGGTGTTGCAAAAGCTCAAGCGCATCTCTATGGACTTTTTGCAGATACAACAGCGTCATGGAAATCAACTTCATCATTCTGCTGCACCGTGAGCTGGGTTCTGATTGGCCGGTGCATCCTCAAGGAGACCGTTTGCCCCGCCCACAGAACCACCCAGTCCCACGGAGATGAACAGCGGACGATAATTGTGTGAGACAGAGCATCCCCACAACTTCACCTCCCCTCCCCAGAGACCACCTCCTCAATATTTAACACACACAGGTCATTCTCTGTCCCACCGCACACTCACTGGCTCAAAACTTTCAACATATTTTATTATTTATTTATTGTATTTAAAGAAATATTGATTTAAGGCAGGGTTGAGCACTTGCCTGCAGGATTATTGGTTTCACTCATCTCCATCAAGAATTAATGAACACCTGAGGAGGCTGCAGAGAAGCATTGACAGAAGAGGAAACTAAAGCTGACACGTTTTGCAGCTACAGCCGATGTTGGTTTGTTTTGCGCGGCCAAGTACAATACTTACATGCTCAAATCAAATCAGTGTATTTTTGACGTGCCCAAAATCAAAACAGTCGTTTCAGTCGCCTTTACGAAACAATGTTCTTTCTAATAACGAATTAGGAAACTGAAGAAAACTTTATTGACTCCGACAAGACCACATGTTGAAGTTTCCAAACCTATTGTTAAGCTGTGTAAAACAGGAGACTTAGTGGCAGCTAAACAATAGTCTGGTCTAAAATAAAATACTCATACGCATCTGCAACTTAGCTTCGAGCCAATATTGGACCACGCTGAAAAGCCATTAGAATTCAGTGGATAATTATTTTTCCGGGTACATCACCACGGCAAGGTGTCAGATTGCAAGTCTGGCATTCTGAAAGGTGTGGTGGATATCATTTAAGCTGGATCTACATGAAAAAAAAACTTATTTTGTCCACTCATTGGTGTACTAATTGGCCATTACACATTTGGGACTTTAAAACTACGTTCTCTGGATTGTTGCCACATCATAGCTGTTTTTCGTGCTTAAAAAGTTGAATTAATCTCTCCCCAGATATGACCTGTGGCTTCTATAGATGGACATTTTAAGGCCATAGTGTGCAACAATTTTGCAAAAACAGCACATTTTGGATCAGTCGGCCCTCCACCAGAAAAGTTATGCAATGCCCTTTCTTTTCATTTCTATCAAGAACAACCAAAGTTACTGTAGACATTGACAAATAAAACAGAAATAAGTGGTAATTGTTTCAAAACTCAAATGATTTTTATGAAATGGTTGCATGTTATAATGAAAACTCTGCACTCACCTTTATAATGGATAAAATAGCCCAAAAGAAAATCATTTCCACACAATGATTAGTATTTCATCGAGAGTGCGCTCTGATTGCACAGAACACATCTCTGTAATTGACAGTAGGCGATTGAACTTTCCCTCTCACGCTGAGGTCTGCGGGGACAGACGGAGAATCTAGTTAAACACTAATGGTCTGCTGCTAACACGCTGACCACACGCAGATGCATGTTTCTTTCTTTGATAATGCCGTCGTAAGTAAACACGGAGTGGAGGACATTATCATCAGTAATAAACCACAAACCAACTGCATTTTTCTTTTTAATTATAAATAGTTTATAACTGGAACTCATACAAGGTCAATAAATACAAGAAAACTGTGCCTTTGTAACAATAATAACTATTTGTTTAGCTGAGGACATTGATTATATAATTCATACATAAATAGTATATCATTGCATATTGGCCATACTTGTATTGTACCTCCTGTTCTCAAGGATCAAGGTTTTTGATGCCTGTTTTTTAAAATGTGATTTAATTTGGCTTTGCAAATGGGGGATGGAGGGCTTTATTAAGGACTTGATCTTGAAATGCATTAAAACAAAGGATTACTAAAACATGCACTCATCAAAATCCCACCTTGATTGAGCTTGTGACAAAAACTTTGTTTTTATTTTTTTTACACATTAATTGAACATAATGTTCAACTCATGTATGTTTATTGACAAAAACTTTAATTTACTCACAAAAATAATGCTTTACTTCAGTAACAAGGCAACGGTTTTATATAGGGCTTTTTGAACACTCAAAGACGCTTCACATGCTAACCCTAACATGGTGATAAACTACTACTATAGCCACAGCTGCCAAGCGGCACACTGACGGAAGAGAGACATCCAGTATTTGCCATCGGCCCCTCAAACCATCACCAACCATTCACACACACATTCTCTGCAATGTAGGTGAGGTGTCTTTTTTCTAAGGACACAACAACAGTTTGGCGCTTTACAGCCGCAGCCGCCCCATTGTGGCAACTGCCAAGAGGTTCTCCCATCACAGTAGTAACCAAGCCATGCTCTGCTTAGCTTCAGAGGTCTGACGGGATCTGGCGTCTAAATTCAAGTGGTCCCTCAGTGGAGGGTCTCACCACATGACATTTAGCTGGGCTGTTGTGTTGTGTGGCAGACAAGTGAAGGGACAGCTTATCAACTGTTGCTGCACATTCATATTTGATATGTGAACCAACATTACCCAGGAGGCCTGCAGCAGAGGGCACAGAAATGGTCTCTATGATGGGAGGGACTTCAATGTACTGTAATGGTGTACATTGTACATCACATATAAAATGAGACATGGAGCTTTGTAATTGGATGAATATCAAGTCCTATTGCACCCTGCTTAGAGCCCCAGATATACTAAATATACCTATTGCTGGGTTGCAACCACATGACCAAAAGGGGGCGTGGCAAGGGGCCGTGGGACAGGAAGTATTTTTCTCCTATTAAATAGAATGGGAGATGTGGGAAAACCATAGACTGTGTATATTAACGGACAGAGTCACGCCTATCTCTACTGGAGCTATCCAAAATGGCTGCGAGTGGTCCCGCCAACAAGAAAATTGTGAGAAAGGCATCTGCGCATGCGTTGGCCGGCGCAAGTTCCATTCATTTGAACGAGAGACTTCAAAAATTCACAGCGAGTAAACTAGACTGGCCCAGAAAAATTCACCCCCCTCAGCATTGACACACATGTGGAACGGAGCTTTGGGCCAAGAGCCAACTTTTGGTCCATCCTGTAAAGACGTTTTCGAGTAGTTGCCGCTGTGTTCACCTGCACCTTGCTCACATTCGTCCTCTTCAGTGCTCGCTTCCTCCTGGTCCACACTTTCCTTCGCAGACTGAAGCCACCACAGTAGTTTTGAAGTCTTCAAAAAAAATATACGCAAAGTTTGGCAAT